AAGCAGTAAGTAAAACTTTAAAGTTAAATAGGCATAACAATTTTATTGTTTGCAGATTTTAAAATCTATTTGATCAAAATATATAAATTTTTTGCGATTTTATAGCAATTTGATCAAAACAAGTAAATGCTAACCGATTGAAAAATAAAAAAATACGAGGGTCCCAATTTTCGAAATTTTTCAGTTCTGGCTGAAAAAACTGTTACCACCCTAATTTACATACATACATACGTACATACATACAAACATATATTTAAAAATCCAGCAGCTGATATTTGAAGAAACTTCCTTAACGAATATTCTTTCCTATGGATAGCAGCATACAAAATTTGCCCATCGTATTGACCAAGAGACTTAGAAAATCCACAGCTTTCAATAAAAGTAAATTCAAATTTTAAATAATTTCAACGTTTTATACATTTGTCTCATCGATCTACGGACAGAAATCGTTAATCAATGCTAACTTTATAAAAAAAAACCGAAATGCAAATAAAAATACAAAAATCTAATTAAAGCGAAACCCACTTAGAAGTCCCACAACTCGCTAATCCAAATCACATATTCACGCTGCGATGCGAAAGAGTACAGCTAATTTGTTATTTCCTATTAAATATTCCAGTTCATCTGCTTATTCTTCTCAAATATTTCGTTTTTTTTTATAATTTTGTTGTTGTTAACTTTTTTTATGGCTTTGCTTTTCAGTATAAGCAGGTATTGTCGGTGTGGGTCCAAGCCAAACGGTAGCCAAATATATTTTGAAGGTAGTCATAAATTTTCTTTGAAATGAGCCGCAAAATCATTTGAAAACAAAAAAAAATTAAATACCAACAGTAGCAACAACAAGCATTTCAAGAAAAAAAAATCAGTAACAACCATTAATGGATGGGGTAACAACGGCTACCAACTAACAAACATTATTTCGAGCATAGGTGAATACGTTAACTTAATTAAGCCGGTTCCTGCATTTAGCCAAGTTGATGAGGAGTTTGTGATGCTACTCTGAAGCATTTGTTTGTACTCATATACATACATATGTATGTAGGTGCATATGTACCTGTAGGTACCTACTTAAATGCGAGTGTACGAATTGTGGGAGCAAGTTTATGGTTTAGCGCTAGAGGTAAATACTTATATATATATGTATGTATATACATACAATAAGTATTAATAAACCAGTAACGACTATAAATAAATAATTGAAAAGATGTTGACCACAGATTCATTTTTTCTGAGTAATTAGCAATTTGGAGCAGCTGGGAAAAGTAATTTGAAAATGTGACTTTGTTCTACATATTAGAGTTAATTTGAAACAATATTTGGTTTAACAGTCAAATTTAATCACCTAAAATGAATGATGTATCAAAACAAATTTAAAAATAGTGATTTAAACGTTCAGCTAACAAAGAAGCTACTTCTACACATGTTCATTAGGGTGCGGATCGTGAGCTCGGTTTTGGGTGGGGGCAAATAAGAATCAAAAATTTTGTACGCCCAATTATGATAGATATTTTATTTTATTATATTACATATTGTTTATAAATGCTTAACACTCCATACGAATTACTCGTAGCGCTTTTAACAGAAGCGACATTTAGATATGAAACAAAATGTTTTCGAAAGCTACTGTAAATGCCTTACACGAAAAAATATTTCCCTTGAGCCACAATTACTCCTTGACCTTAAAAAAATGGTCAAAAATAGTGTTCTCGAAAAAAATATGCAAAATCCACCGGATTTATTTCAAAAAAAATATTATTTTTTATTATACTAATATTATAGACGTTGAGACGGGCAACACGATTCCACTGTAGATCCACCCCTGAGGGTGCCTCATCAAAAAATAAATCTTGGTTTTTCCACCGAAATCTAAACTTTATTATAGTTTAAAACTTTCGCCAAAATATTTTGGAAAAATATTCAGATTTACGTGTGCTTGACTGATTTGAAAATACCTCCAAATAAATACCCCATTATTTTGATTCCGTTGAAACAATTTTTAAACATTTTTCTGCAAACCTTTTAGGCCTAAACTTTACCATCTGGTGTGTTAATTTTGGAAAAAATATTAGTTTTATTTACAAAAAGTCGATTTATGTGTTCCATACCAAAACGGACGGCGTTCACACTTCATATCAAAATTCTCTATGAAAAGAAATATTTTAAAAATTTGTATCTTGAACAATTTTTCACATACAAATTTTTTTATAAAAAAATTAGTTTTTGAAAATATGCATCATAAATATTATTTTTAAAAACTAATTTTATTTACAAATAGTCGATTAATGTGTTCCATACTAAAACGGACGGCGTTCAGACTTCATATCAAAATTCTCTATGAAAAGAAATATTTTTAAAATTTTTATCTTGAACAATTTTACACATAGATACAAATTTTTTTATAAAAAAATTAGTTTTTGAAAATATGCCATCATAAATATTATTTTTAAAAACTAATTTTATTTATAAATAGTCGATTAATGTGTTCCATACCAAAACGGACGGCGTTCACACTTCATGTGTTTGATTTGTTTCAAATTTTTAGCGTATTCAATTTTAGTACAATAAAGTACTACTACAAAATTGCGTTGATTTTTAATATTTTTTATGCTGGCGGCTTCTTGCACTTTTTTCTTATGGAAGAAAATGCGCAAAACCATTTTCAAAGAAAAAAATAAAAATAACGCCAACGTCCGTTTTGGTATGGAACGCCCCATATACTTACATACAGAGTTCAAACTGTGTAAGCTGGAGCACGCTTTACAAGTAGGAGAAATAAAACTGTGCAGCTTTCGATTCCAGCAGCAAATACATTAACCTCTTTGTGGTTGGAGCGCTAATGAAATGTCAAAATACCACTTTGTCAAATATTTACAGTTTGAATATTTTTTTCGGCACTCACCGCGTTCGTTCATTAATCAAAGCGAATTTTAAGCTTCTTGGGTTGCTTTCGGCACTTAGAGGAAATAGTAAAATGAGAAAGCATGCAATTATAATTAGGGCGTGAATACGTGGATATCTATAATAATTTAAAGGCAACTTTTTGTGTTTGAAAAACTCGCGGAACACTCAGCCGATTTCCATGATTTTGATTTTAAAAGAACTTGCCTGGACTACGGAGGAATATAGACCTAATTTCTCCATACAACTTTTACAGTTAGCAAGTAGTTAAAGGGCATAAACATTGCGTTTTAAAAATAAATGCACAAAGGTTTAGTTTTATCAAAACTTTTCTTGAGATCTAAGGATTGTTAATGTTGAGCTAAATTTTTAATATTCATAGATATTATTAATTAGAGTTACAGTCAATTTTGCAACGAACCATTTCAGAGCCACTTTTCTCGGACAAACGGAATTTCGTGGTACTTACCCGTCGTCTGTCTGATTTCGTGTAGAGAAGGGATTGAAATGGCTCAGTCGCAAGTATATATATGCATCTTCCTACATTTATAATAAAAAACATTTCTGCAAACGAGCAAATCCAGATTGAACTGCCATTAGCCCATACAATTTTATTATAATAAACTGCAAGTATGAGGAAGCTAGGACTTACCATTGATTTTTGGGAATTTTTTTTTGTTGAAGGTATCGCATATTTACTCCATATAAAAAAAAATTATCAAACATTATTTTTTTGCACAAGGTTTAGAACTTTGATTTTTGGGGTTTTGTTGTAGAAATAACTATATTTTTATAAAAAATTTGCGAAAAATAAAATATTTAAAAAATAGTTGCCCGTATTGTAAAAAATTCGCTGTACCTAAACTTTATTGACTGACTGTCTGTCGCAGCTATTTTGTAATTTTTGAAGTTTTACGGTTTTTTGTTTAATTTTAATAATTTCAGATACTTCAAATTATCAAAAACAAAATAATACATTTTCTAAGGTAGGCGCAACACCATTTTCGACCAAAAACAGATGTTTTCATATATCTGTTGAAAACATGGTTGCCTTGTGCTCTTTGTTCACAAAAAAAATGTTCGAATACCCAAAGCATCTAGATGTATTTCTGCATCGAAAAGAAAATTAAGAAAAAATTGCACTTACTTTTTTTGCCGTTGGGGCTCCATATTTTTATTAGTAAGTGATACGGCAATAGCAAACTACTTCTTTCCCCATAATTTTTGCAAGCATTATTATTGATTTCGGTAATGGGTTTTTTATGCAAAAAATAATGCATGGAGTTCCCATATTTCCATTTTTTTAAAACTATCAAAGCTCTTGGCTTTCTATGGCTCTCAAATACAAGCTAAATAATGCAGCTTTCCCAAAAGTTGACAGTAGTCTTTATCAGATTGTAGCTAGTTAACAGGAGCAGTGTTGCATTTAGGGCCGCTTTTCAAGTTTCTTTTAAAATTGATCTTCCTTTAAAAACAATTTTTACACTGGAAATTCAAAACATCACTGACTTATCAAAGCGCCCTCGTTTGCACTACTGTGCAACCATTTTAGATTTACATACGAAGCAAAGTAATTAAAAGAGATTTGACCAGCAATGCTCCATAGATCTCTATATCTCATTAATGCTCACTTATACACGCATACATGCATATGTACATATGCACATATACGTATAATTATGCAAGCATATATGTAAGTGGATTTTATTTATAACAAACAAGCATTGAACGCTTGAAAACTGCAATTTACTGCTCAACAGCTCAAATTGATAAATTGGTATTTAGACATTGCGACACGTCAATTGCATACTAATTGAATTATGCAAAATGAAGGAGCTCAAAAGCGCAAAATTTCAATTAATTTAAAGTGTACAAGCATATACCCAAGACTGCGAGCGAACACTGAACAAGTAGCAATTAGTGTTTTTCAATTAGCCAGCTGCTATGTAACCAACGGATATTGCTTGTTCACACGTTGCACCTATACTATTTATTAGATTAGCAAATAGAAACACACACACACCTGCAATTAAAAGCAGTTAATACAACAATGTTGCAACAAAATATTTAATAACTAACTAATATTATTTTTCACTTTGCAGATAAATCACATTTGGATATATTTTCGAATCGCCCCCAACCGAAAAAGAAACGCAAATCTCGCACAGCTTTCACCAATCATCAGATATTCGAATTGGAAAAACGTTTTCTCTATCAAAAGTACCTGTCGCCGGCCGATCGTGATGAGATTGCCGCTGCGCTGGGCCTATCCAATGCACAGGTGATCACTTGGTTTCAAAATCGGCGAGCAAAGCAAAAACGTGATATTGAAGAGTTGAAGAAGGACTTCGACAGTGTGAAGGTATTCTCTGCGCATAAATCCTTTTTGGAGAATGTGAACGATCTCAGCATATTGAAGAAGAAGCCCATGCATGAGGCGGACGCAATGGCGGGCCTCGCTGCGGCCGCGGCAGCCGGTATGGTGCCGGTTTCGTCCGCCGCCGCAGCAGCCGTGGCCGCACAGGCTGCATTAAATACACAAAAATGAATTAGTGGGCGCACATAGCGCTATAAACACACATTTTCACACAAACAACTGCGTGAGAGGAAGAGAACAGCAAATGGAGAATTGTCAAATGTTGGGTGGATGTTGCGCT